GTTAGAGGGTAAATGTAGAGTTAGAGGGTAGATGTAGATTTAGAGGGTAGATGTAGAGTTAGAGGGTAAATGTGGAGTTAGAGGGTAAATGTAGAGGCATGTGGAGGTCCAACAGTTTCAACAGGATGGACTCACATCCACTTAGCAGATAGTTGTTAGCTGCTATATTAATGTTACATTCCAGCTCTGTCAGGGTGCAGATCAGCAGCATAAAACCAGTTCTTCTTCTTTACCAAAGTTATTTATTGCCTCGTAGCATAATAATCAAACATCAGTGATAAAACTAAAAGGAGGAACTGGGCCTGTGGGGGCTGCTCAGTCAATAAAACGAAGAAAATTGAAAGAGGACTCACAGAATAACTGATGAGTGTGTACAGGTGAGTAAAATTAGCGAAGCCTGGCCCAGTTTCCAGACAGTGGAACGAGTGTCTCAGCTAAATCAAGGCAAAGATAGCACAAAGACATCGAGTTAGCACTAATAAGGATGGCAGAATAACGGGAAGAGGTTCACTCATTAACCCCGAATGTGACGGAGCTCCAGCTGTTATGCAAAGAAGAATTAGGTAAAATGTCCAGACATGCATTTACTGAATACTTTAAGAGTGTAAATACTTCTGAAATCGCTTATTTAATGTTTTGTATTATTAAATAATTGACTTTAAATTGTAGAAATCTGTTGTTTTGGTCAATATTCAACACGTTAAAGCCAAAAACCAATGAGCTGTAACCGCTATTGCTCTATTTATGTTCATCTCCCTTTAATAATAAGCTGGTGATGTTTTGGTGTCGTTGCTTTTTTGCAGCATCGTTCGGCTGTTTTCGTCAGACAGGAAGAGGGTGGAGAATGCCCTGGAGAGCTGCAAACTGCCCTACGGACGGGTAAATAATGTGTTCGATATTATGAACGGGAGAGTCTAGAAAGATGTTTCACCTGCTGGACGTCCAACAACCTGCGTCTGAGCCGTGCTGCTTTTATTTTATGGCTAAAATCACACGATTCTTTCTGTTCTTACAGTTTCTGATTCTGATAAATGGTATAATGTTGGCGAGTTTTTAAAGCTGACGGTGGTGGTTTTAGTTTTGTTTTTAGCAGGAAATAGAAAGCAGCATTAGAAGAGTCAGATTGTTTGCGTACATGAATATTTACACGAGAGATTCTTTATGGCAAAACAGAGAAAGTCTGAATAATTGCTGCATTTAAAAAAATCTTTTTATACCAAGTAAAGAAGGATGAAATGAACACAGATGCTGATAAAAACAGGCAGATGTTTCTACCACCAGGAACTGAATTTGAATAATTTATGTCTGAATTTGAATCACTCAAACGGACTTATTGAAATTTAAATTTGAAGTCAGAATTTGAATTTCTCAACCTGAACAACGAAAGTCAAAATTTTAATGATATAATTTACATTTCTTCAAATGAAACTTTATTCCAATGAACTCGAAGCCAAATATAATATTCTGTGAATCAGTTCAGTTGCTCTGAAACTTTATTTGATCCTCGTTGAAAATTCAATGTTATCACAGTAATTACAATTATTCAAATTGAGAAATGAACATTTTAATTTCAAGTACTGAAGTTGATCAATGCAGTTTCAACTATAAATTATTTAAACTGAGCTTCTAGCAGCACAAATTTCTGCCCATCCATAATTGCACCTCATGCAAATTTAAGAATAATTTAACGTCCTCGTTCTGCACCTTTATCAGGGCGACAGCATCAAACTGGAGGACTTTACTCTGGAGGTCTACCGGAGCTTCCTGGACAGTCTCTGTCCTCGTTCTGAGCTCGGAAACATCTTCAAACTGCAGTGAGTGAACAGAAAGTCTTTCTCTTCAACAGGAACCAGAAGCTACGACAAGAAATGAGCAGTTTAATGAGTTTCAGGTTGATTTCTTTGATATGAGAATAAAGAAGAAGAATTATTGTTTTGCTGTGTTCTGCATATTCACAGTCAGCCTGCAGGTGGTGATTATTGATTATATATCGTAATATTGATCGCTGTAGCTGCAGACGTCCTGCAGCAGCCTCTAACCTCCGTCCTGTCCCGCTCCACAGAGGAGGGAAAGACGGGACGCTGTCGGTCGACCAGATGACCGAGTTCATCAACAACAAGCAGAGAGACCCGAGACTCAACGAAATCCTTTATCCTCCTCTCCGTCCAGCTCAGACCCACAGCCTGATGGAGAGATACCAACACGACCAGGCTCAGCTGAAGCAAGGTGACACCAAACACCACCACATGAGCTCTATAGTCATTCAGAGGAGCTGCCGTCGCTCACAGTTTAGTTTAATAACAATTTAGTCATTTAGAGGAACAAACTTCATGTTGACGGGTTGTGCTGAATTCATAATGTTGCATCAACGTAATGTTTTGTCTAATTTAAACTTAAAATGTCCAGCATCAAATGATTTAATAAAACAACAACAACAGAGCGAGTCCTTCTCCCATTGGTCACCACAGCCTCAGGCGGGGGAGGCCGTTCACGTCCCCATTGGTCAGTTTTGGTAACACGCCCACTGTCAGCAGCCAATCAGGTTACAGTCGGCCAATCAGATTACAGTACCGGTAGTTCTGGAGTTATGAAAAAGAAAAAAAAAAGGAATGAAAAAAGAAAAATGTTGATGAACATGGAAGTCGGCCAATCAGGCGGCCTCGCTAGAAAAACAAACTGAAACTTATTTTTCTGGAATTTCTTTCTTCTTCTTTTTTTAATTCTCAATAATGCTTATGTATTATATATGCATTGCTTATTCTGTATTTATATATATATATGTAGTTTGAGATTTAAAAAATTAAACTCAACTATTTAAACTGAATTCAAGTTTTTACTAACTTAATTATAACCTGAATTTCAGATTAACATGCCTGGACAGATCCAGTCTGTTAGGATTGTGTGTTAAAGGACCTGTAGGTTGAAAAAACAAGATAAAAAACACATTTCCTGTGTTTAAATACTCAACTGCAGTTCAAAATACAAAAACAGTTGCATTACAAATTTGTCACTGAATTAATTTTTATTTTTTTTAAGCTACATGAACAAAAATGTGGAAGAAAAGTGAGGCAACTGAATTATTTAAACAATTGTCGACTTAAAATAAACTAAGTTTCTGACCTTTAAATACACTAGTTGGAACATTTTACAAGTTATGAGGTAAATAAAAATGTCTTTATTTTCAGAGGAATGTAATGTAGTTTGTTGGTTAAAAACAACTTTACTAGAAGCTTCCAAAACTCCAGAAGACCTTTGCAAAGTGATGCATTATTTTTTTGTTGCAGTTATTTTCTCCCACAAAAAACTTGCTCCTTAAACGCCACGTTTGAAGTCCAGGCTTTTCCTCTGCGACTTATCTACATCATCACATAATATATAAGCATAACTCCGGCTAGCAGCTACTCAAACTAAGAAAAAGAAAACAGACAAAATAATGTGTTTTTAAGCCTTGAAGCATGTAAATATATTCCTGTAGACCCCAAATATAAACGTATAAACTGGTAAAAGTGCAGATTAAAGGGCTCTTTAAAACGAATCAGCTCGTTCTGCAGCAGGGTTTGTGTTTCTCACGCTTCTCTCGTGCCGTTTGTGTTTCTTCAGGTTCGATCTCTCTGCAGGCGTTCGTCAGTTATCTGTCCAGCGACGAGAACGGAGTGATTCCACCAGAAAAGCTGGATCAGTCCGAAGACATGAGCTTCCCTCTGTCGCACTATTTCATCAAGTCCTCGCACAACACCTACCTGACAGGTAAAGCACCGCAACACAGGCGGGACTCTGAGGAAACCGAGTTACGTTATATTTGTGTTTATCAAACCTGTGCTGCTTCTTTAATCTGTGACAGATATTCTAAAATATATAGTTTTCAATCATTTTTTATGCAAATTAAGTTAAAAACTCATCTGAATCAGCTGAGCTTTCAGCAGTAAATGTTGCTTTAGCTGTGATTTACTGCAAAAACATCCAAGTGCAGCGATTAAAAGTAGAAAATGACAATAAAACCAAAGCCTGCAGTGTTAAAAAACAGACTTATCTCACAACTTTCCTTTGTCGTTGCAACACCAGTGAGACAATTAAGGTTGGAGGCTGAAGAGTTTATCCCAGTAGCACATAAATCTCCATACAGCTGGTTCTGTTTGACAGCAGGAGAGAAAAACAAGATTTTCTACGAGAAAAACCAACAAACTCAGTGCTTTTAATTGTGTGGAGGTTGTTGAGTTCCTTTGTTAATCGGAAGAAGATAAATAAACACTGGGACAAACAGCAGAAAAAGAAAACTGCAACCAGGAGCACAGTTTGTGTTTTTTTGGCAGAATCAAACTGTGGACTTGGAGGAACATCGAGCTCAGCGATAACAGAAACACCTCCAGTAAACAGCAGACATCTGGAGCCACAAAAGGTCTTTAATCGAACCTAAACCGGTCGGATTCAGCCCCAGAGTGGAAACAAACAGCCCGACTGGACCCAGAGGAAATGGGACACGAATGGACTCAACACTTCTGGGTTTAATCAAGCAAAGAGCCGAGACCTGTTGAACCTGAATCTAAAAGGAGACGTGGCCTAAATACCGAGGTCTGGATTGTGTCCTGCTGGGATTCCAGCGTGTGGAGCTCCCACATCGCCCACCTGTGAAAGGAAAGCGTCGGACGGGACTAAACGTTGGAGATTATTGTGTTTCTGACTGTTGATCACGAACCTCTGACGCCCAAACAGACAGTAAAACTCACCAGAATGACGCCGTTTATCAGCCAGAAACAGTAAAAACAGAAGGAATCAACAGTCTTTTAAACAGTTGTTGCTCTTTTCTGGCCTCCAGTCGGGTGTTTGTGTCGAACTGTTTTACATCTTTTCCGTCTTGTGCTTGTGTTGCAGCCGGTCAGCTGGCCGGAAGCTCCTCGGTGGAGATGTACCGTCAGGTTCTGCTGGCCGGCTGTCGCTGCGTCGAACTGGACGTGTGGAAAGGACGAACGGCCGAGGAGGAGCCGGTCATCACTCACGGCTTCACCATGACGTCGGAAATCTCCTTCAAGGTGCGTCTGACTGTCTGCGGTGACACGAATCAACCGCTGGCTCGCTCACAACTCATCAGAGTGTTTAAGGAGGAAGTAGGTAAAATGTGAGCCGTCGCTGCGTCTGCAATGATTGTGGACGGAGTTCGAGCCGATACGCATCATCGCTGTCTGGTGGTCCAACGGCATCTAACTGTGTTGACTTCAAAAGAAAAAGTAACACAAGCGACAAATTCCAGTATTTGTGGAAAAATCTAAACAGTTTCTCTCACCAAATCACATCTGTGACAAAATAAAATATCCAAAATAAATTAGCTTTACTGCAGAATCTGTCAGAATAATGAGTCCCCAAAGATTTTAATAAACAGGAGGTGAAGTTTTGTTGTTGCTGTTTGTAGGAGTTTCTCCTCTGAGGTTATTTAATTCCTGCAGTTGGTGGAATATCTGATCAATACGACACCGATGTGATGTCATAAATCAATAAAAAAATATTGTAATATTGATTTTACAAAGACTGACACAACAGTTTTCCACAATAACAACACTAGAAGACTCTGCGTAGGACAGATATTTTACTACTTACATGTTTAATTTGTTTTCCATTAACACTTCCTGCAGTTCAGTCGAAAAGTTTTTGAATTTTTATCGCGGTACTCTTTGTTCCAGCTGAGTCACTGATGGCTTCACAGCTGCACCAAACAGAACTTTAATTTTTTTGTAGAATCCTGTTTTTGCAAAAGGTTTGTTTTTGGTACATTTTTAAATCAGACATTAGAATGAAGTAATTATGATGAAATACCATAATGTTAAGCATGTTTATGGACCTTCAGAGAGCAGAAAGCCAGTGATTCTTTATGTTTTTACAGCTTTTACAGCAACTAGTCTAAAGACAACATGCTGTCAATACCACCGGCAGGTTCTGGGGTTCAGCAGGTTAAAGGTTTCTGCCGTGTTTTGTCCCGTGTTGAGCATTAAGACGGTTCAAAACAGACTAAAACGTTCTTTTGTGTTTGATTCTGCTGTCTTTCTCTCTTTTATTTTCCAGGAAGTGATCGAAGCCATCGCAGAGTGCGCCTTCAAGACGTCGCCGTTCCCCGTCATCCTGTCTTTTGAAAACCACGTGGACTCGTGAGAATCTCGTTGTTCACATTCGACCTCCTGAAGCGAGTCGACCGATTAATCAAATCGTTAATTCTAATTTATCTGCTCCTCAGGTTGAAGCAGCAGGCCAAAATGGCGGAGTATTGCCGATCGATCTTCGGAGACGCTCTGCTGATCGACCCTCTGGACAAATATCCCGTAAGAGGCGCCGACCGCCGATCGATCGGGCCGCGTGTCGGGATCAATTGACGTGATCGTGGTTTGTGTTTGTTTGCAGCTGGAGTCGGGCGTCCCTCTGCCCAGTCCTCAGGAGCTGATGGGCAAAATCCTCATCAAGAACAAGAAGTCTCACAAACCGGCCAACAACACGGACACCAAGAGACTGACGGACCAGCCGGCCAATCAGAGCCAAGAGCCGCTGTCGCCTAGCAACAACACCGGAGGTAAGACACGAAGACAAAAGGACTTTTCCTCCAAATCCATGTGAAATGTATTCAGCTGTGACAGTCTTTGTGTTAAAAAAGAAAAAGAAAACAGAAAATGGCCAAATGATTGTGAGGTTCGTGGAGCCGCGGCGGCCGAACGTGGCTGGAAAATGTCAGAGAGGCTTTAATTTAAGAGCCTCGGTTATCAAAAGAAATGTTTTTTCTTCTGTTTTTCACATTCGGCAGACGTATGAGTCACCGGTTTGAAAAGGTACAGAGACGGAGCTGCAGCTCCGTCCCCGAGGACCGGAGACAAACCTGCTCGCGTTCCTGAGACTCTCAGAGAATCCAATCAAAAGTTGACGATTATCAGCTTCTCGAGGAGTTTTCCAAAAGAGGACGCCTCACGTTGGTCGGCGACTTTGGCCGCCAGAGGTGCTTTTAACAGCGAATGAACGTGTGTGCAGACGGGAAGTTTTATTGACGCGCTGCAGAAAGCAGGACGAGGAGCTGAAGTGCGTCCTCGTGCTGCAGCCGTGACCCGTCGAGTGGCTGAATAATCACAAGGCAGAGCTTGTTTACTCGTCTGCAGGCGGCCGCTCGATTCATATTCGCAGCTTTTGTGCACAAATTTCAGATGTTGTGTACGAAAATCCGCTGCTGCTTTATTGGTGGACGGACGTTAACCCTCGAACCCCGAATAGTTTCTGGGTGTTTTTTTTTATTTGTCACATTTTTACTCAACAGAACGTCGTGCAGCTTCATAGAAACACAACAACTCGTGTGCAGAAATACCAAAAAGTGTTGAATGTCTGTCATTTAAAGAAAAAAAAAAAAAGATTAATTCATTTCTCGTCAGTTACTACTTGATACCACTAGAGGTGAAAAACACAAAATGCAATTTGGCACAATTTGATGAGATGTTTTTAGTATCATGGACGAGTTTCTGAATGTTTAACAACATAAAATAATAGTTTGCATTCGTCTTTTTGTGTTACTTCTAATTAAACTGCAGCGAGTTCGTGGAATTTGCTTTTTCTCTAGGATCAGTAGCATGAACACAAGTTTTTAAGTCGATTAGTCATAAAACTTTAGTTTTTTCCTTTTCAAGGAAGGCCGGAAACCAGGAAAACCCGGTTGCGGAATTGCGGCAAGGGGCCCCAAATTGCCCCAAAGGGGCCCCAACCAACACAAAATAGATGCAAAGTGAACACAAACACGTGCAAAAACTACCCGACCAAGACAGAAAGAGACACAACATGAACAAAAGTAAAAGTAGACACAAAGAGACACCAGACACCACCTACAAAAGGCAAAAAGACAGTAAGATATATAAAGTCCTGCACCTGAACGGAGAGAGACACAGTTAGAGCGACAGAACTCACAAAAACTAAAGAAAAAAATTGAATTTAAGAAGCTTCACCAGAGAAATGATCACTAAAGCAAAGTCAGAAATGAGACAATAAATACAAAAGTAAACACAGAGATATGACGTAATTAATAAATGTACTGTAACTGTAGGATTTAGGTAGAATTGTACATAAATTTATCAAGAGAAACATGATGTTATTGCACAAAACAGTGTGTTTGAATATTTATTTTACGATGAAAAAATTTTATAAAAGTCAACATGTACAACATTTTTTCAGGTGTGTTACCAATACTGGTGATGAAGGTGGTGACTCTACACACTGCAGATATTTCACTGCTCACTTTTTTAAATCAGTTTCCAAACACTGCCTGCAGTTCAGCCGAAAGGTTCCTGAATTTTTTGTCAGGTGGCCGTCAATCACGGCTCAGTCACCGGAGGCTTCACAGCTGCACGAAGGAACGCAGAATTTTTGCTTTTTTACAGAATCGAATTTGAACAAACGCTTTAATTTTGGTGAATTTTTAGGTAACACATGTCAAATGAGATGATTTTAATGAAATATAATGACTTTAAGCTGAGATTTGGTTCATTTTTGTGTAATTTAAGGACCATTTGAATGTTGAAATTTCTCTGTTTTGACAGTTTCTGGCTGATGAATTGTGTAATTTTGCAGATCTCATTTTTAAAGACAGCACATCTTTAAAACCTGCCGGTGGGCTTTGGGATTCAGAGGTTTAAGAAAATTAAACCAAAAAGTTTCATCACATTTAACTCATTGTTTTCCTGCAGCTCAGTTTCTTCCTCTTTTTATCTTTAACTCCAGAATTCTCACCAGTTCTCACCCGGTTTTCTGTCATGTTTGTTGTGTTTTTGGGGGGAAGAAGAGATGATGAAGGCTTGTTTGATTTTAACAGAGATGGAGGCTGAGAGTGAGGAGGATGATGATGATGAAGATGATGATGGTAAAAAGGTCAGTGGTGACATCACACGGCGGTGACGCGAGGTCGCCCTCGCCGCTGTCGCCTCTCGTTAGTGTTCACGCGTGGTGTTTGCTTCGTGGTTTTGCTGTTTGTCCGTCGTCGCTGTGAGTGTGTTTCGTCTGTGCTTTGTTTTTGCTGCTGCAGTTGTTGTTGTTGTTGTTTATTCTGTACCGTTGTTGCTGTTTTGTGTGTTTTTGTTGACAGGAGTCTGGACTTATCGGTTTGGTTTTTGATTTGTTTTCTCTGGTAGTTGTTGTTTTTAATTGCAGAGATAGAGATTTTCTGACATGAAGCTTTATTCTGCCAACAGGATAACTGTTGTGTTTTTGAGGCTGAATATATTCAGATTACTGATCATAAATTGCATCCATCACAGTTTAAGTGTGTTTTATGACACTGTGCAAAAGTCTTCTTTGTAAAAATAACTCAATGCAAATCCAAAATGACTCAGAAATTATTTTAAAAAATGTCCAGTGACTCAGTTTGATTTAAAATGATCCCAAATTATTAAAAAATAGTCACAACCATGCAAAAAATGTGTTTATAAATGACTCAAAACCCATCTAAAATGATTTGAAACGTTTCCAAAGTGACGAAAGAAATTGTCCCAAAACACTCGAAACTTCACCTAAATAA